CTGGGTCATAACTTTGAAATGGTTAATATCCCCACCCCAAAACTATATATACAATTGTTGGGCATAAAGAGACTAATGCAATCATGATATTAGAATTGATCCCAGGGTCTGCCCCACCCTTGCGGACTTGGCCCCTGGGTCATAACTTTGAAACGGTTGAGATCCCCGCCCCAAAACTATATATACAAATGCTTGGCAAAAAGAGACAAATGCAGTCAGGATATTAGAATCTATCCTGGGGTCTGGCCACAACTCTAGGGACCTAGTTTCTGAGTCGAAGCTTGGAAACAGTTGAGATCCCCACCGCATAACCATACATAAAATTGGGCATGAAAAATCTAATATAGCTATGCTACAAGGATTGGCCTTGGGGTCTGGCATATTCCCTTGATCTCATTTGGAGAATAGTTTGCCATGATTGCTTAGGTATCCAGGTGAGTGATACAGGCCCTCTGGGCCTCTTGTTTAATGATGTAAGATCTAGAGATATGAATTCTGATATTTTCTGTGTGCTAAATTTCCCCATCATAATTTCAACAGTTCATTTTGAATAAAATACTGTATTATATCTTACTTAACTCATTCACCCCTAAAGTCACATTTGAACCTTACCAAATCAAGGATTGGGCAAGTCCAGTTTAAATATGTAGGGGTAAATGAATGAATTTTGGATTTTAGGTTTTGAGATTTTGAACACGAAATCCAAACAATCTTTTAAACTCTAGCCTCATAAAATAACTCCACCAGTTTGATAAAATCAGGTAAGATTATTTTTTTGTTCCAAAATTGAGGACTAAATTAAATAGGATAGAGTCAGTTTCTTCATTAATTAATAGCGTTTTTAATGAGAAATCTTGCGAGAAAGCATTTTTATCAAAGGGCGAAAATAATAAATACGGTAATTATTGCAGTGTCTCATTGATGTTTCAATTTTTTTTCACAGGACAAGTTTACAATATGGTATTAATTGTTTAAAAAGATTGAATTATGACAAGAAAGAATTAGAACGGAGAAGAGAAGACAGTTCAGCAGAAATGAAAGGTAAGACACATTTCCATTTATATTGACTATTATTACCAATGAAAGCAGTTTAACTCTTATATTTTATTTCATGAAATTTGTGATCAGGAGTAAATTCTAATATCTGAGTGAGTTTTCTATTATAATCAGTCTTATGTAGTCTGTCCCATCTTTTATTGCTGAAGTAGTGATGGGTTGATGATAATTATAATTAAAAATTGAATGGTTTAACCTTTCCGATTCCAATTACCGATTCCAAATTCCACAAGGGATATAATTGGTTCATTACTGAACTCAAGTGTCATATGTATACTATGTAAAGCATGCATTTCAAATCTTTTGTTTATCATGATATAATTGGCGATAATATTGAAAAAAATCAAAACTGCATGAAAGTTGCTTGTTATACATTCATAATGAAAGAGTGAAACCTCTTTTATTCTTAATAACTTGATCAATTTATGTTAAAAGTGGGATTTTTGATTTGTTTTTAACTTTTTAGGTCACCTGAGACAAAGTCTCAAGTGACTATTGCGATCGCCTTTTGTCCTTTGTCGTCTGTCGTGCGTCCGTCAACAATTTACATTATCGACTTATTCTCCAAAACCCCTGAACCAATTTCAATGAAATTTTGCAGAAACCTTCCATGGCCAAAGGTTAACAAAAACAGTTGCCGGTTTGGTCCCCGGCCCCCAGGGGCCTGAGGGGCCTGAGGGGCCAAAAAGGGTCAAATTGACTAAAATTTCAAAAACCTTCTTCTCAGACCCAGATATGGTAGAATCAAATACTCTTCATAGATGGAAGGGTCTTAAGGTGCTTTACCAAAATTGTGAATTTCTTGACCCATGGGTTTCATGTTTACCCCTGGGGGTCAAAATTTATTATGGTTTATAATGGCAAATGATACTTTGAATATTACATGTTAATAACTTGATTGGAATTATAACCCTGAGTTAACAGTTTGATACTTTGAAAATTTTGAGCCAGCCCTACCCCCAAGGGCTGTAGGGTGGGGCCCAAAGGAGTCAGTGTGCTAAAATTTGTTCATTTTCCTTGTTTAGAATCATAGGTGCTAGTTTTTAATACTTTTTAGTCTTAAATCTGTATGCTAGATATTGAATAAGGTGGTTTTATTGGTTTTTGTCACTGAATAATATTTCTGTGCGTGTTTAAAACAAAATCAACTCTCTGTATAAATATATCAGGTGACTGTTAAGGCCCATGGCCCTCTTGTTTAGGGTATTCTGTCCAATAAAAATATAAACCAGTTATGCAATCAATCAGAAGTAGGTGTACTATTTCCGATAACAAACAAATCATAGATTATGATTTTGAATCAATTCACTATTATGTAAAACTAGGGAGTATCCGGTTAATATATTGTCTGTATAAACAGACTGTATGGCCCTGTGTTACATACTGTTACAGGTTGTCTATACTGTATGGACCTGTGTTACATAATGTTACAAGTTGTCTATTCTGTATGGCCCTGTGTTACATAATGTTACAGGATGTCTATGCTGTATGGCCCTGTGTTACATACTGTTACAGGTTGTCTATCCTGTATGGCCCTGTGTTACATAATGTTACAGGATGTCTATGCTGTATGGCCCTGTGTTACATACTGTTACAGGATGTCTATACTGCATGGCCCTGTGTTACATACTGTTACAGGTTGTCTATCCTGTATGGCCCTGTGTTACATAATGTTACAGGTTGTCTATACTGTCTGGCCCTGTGTTACATAATGTTACAGGATGTCTATGCTGTATGGCCCTGTGTTACATACTGTTACAGGTTGTCTATCCTGTATGGCCCTGTGTTACATAATGTTACAGGTTGTCTATACTGTATGGCCCTGTGTTATATACTGTTATAGGTTGTCTATACTGTATGGCCCTGTGTTATTTACTATTTCAAATTGTCTATACTGTATGGCCCTGTGTTACATACTGTTACAGGTTGTCTATACTGTATGGCCCTGTGTTACATAATGTTACA